AATTTTATACTTTCTTTTTTTTTTTTTAATTTTTTTTCAACGTTTATTTATTTTGGGGACAGAGAGAGACAGAGCATGAACGGGCGAGGGGCAGAGAGAGAGGGAGACACAGAATCGGAAACAGGCTCCAGGCTCTGAGCCATCAGCCCAGAGCCCGCCGCGGGGCTCGAACTCACAGACCGTGAGATCGTGACCTGGTTGAAGTCGGACGCTCAACCGACGGCGCCACCCAGGCGCCCCTAATTTTATACTTTCAAAAGCACAAATTTCAGCCATGATTGAAGAACTATGGTGACAGACTTGGTTTTGGCTCTCACCATTGAAGGCCTGTTCACTTCTTGTTTTTCCGCCGTGTTCTCAGAGTTAATTTGGATGACTGTCACACCAACAAAAGCACCTGGGGTGAACAGTGGGTGACAACACAGTAGACTCTCTCCTGTTTCCTAAACCAGAGTGGGTGATAAGCTCAGACGCTCAGCATCTGGGCCCCTGTTTTGCTCAGAGTTTACGCTTAGCTCCCTCTGCAGTCCCTGTCACTGTGTCCCTCAGGGCACAGTAGTACACAGCCGAATCTGTCACTTGCACTGAGGATTTCTTCAAGTGGAAAGAATTTGGTTCTTTGTGGTAGGTGGCTTCAAAACCTTTGCTGCTTCCCTTCTCGTTGGCTTTCAAGGCTTTCAGAAGGAGCTGTGGACCTTCTCCGGGATACTGGACACACCAGAAAAGGGCAGGGTACTGTGTGGTTTCATAAGAGCAGTTCACAGTCAGAGAAGCCCGCTCTGAGAGGGTCATTTGGCCTTCCATCTGGGTCACCGAATCTCCCTTGCTTCCTCCTGAAACAAAAACAAAACAGTAGTTCTGGTCACCTCAGGCATGATCTGGGTTCTACCTCTTACAGAAAATTGTAGTTAAAGATGACACCAATATAATGGAACGAAAAAGCTTTTAGGCTTTATGTGCCATCTTACCTACCAAACATTAATAACAGCACAAGCAGTGATCCTGGAGAAGAGCTCATTTTTAAGATCTGTGGTGTCCTTGCGTCTTGACTGCTTAGTGGGAGAAAAAGTTAAGTTCACAGAGGAGGATGAGTGTGAGCTCAGAATAGAAGCAGGAAGTGTGTGTGTGTGTGTGTGTGTGTGTGTGTGTGTGTGTGTGTGTCTGAGAAAGGTAATAAACTCAGAGCCATGTTAACCTATGAACTTGTTCTCCTTTCAAGAGTCTTATATCTTTGCCTCTGGCTCTATTTTTATGACACCTGTTAGCTGTCAAGATGGTCCTTTGTAAATCTAAAGAATAGTTGGTATTTTTCATAAATCTGTTTTTTCCCAGCACACTGCCTAACATGGAAGCTCCAAACTGAGACATTTCCAAGAAAAATTCTATTTTACTTTTTCTCTTTTAGCCATTTTGAGCCTCTTAGTGATACACTGAAATATTATGTAAGTTTTAGGTTAAAGTCAGAGGAATGTCAATAACACATATTCAGTCGTTAATAGATTTGGGATGGAAGAACTTAAACTTTTTTTCACTACTCTATTCCCACACCTAAAACAATGTTGGACACTTAGCAGGTGGCCAACAAATTTCTTAAGTGCACAAATAAATGAATAGATGAATGGTTGAGGAATTCCTGCTACCTGAATTACAATATTGCTTCACATCTAAGACATCAATTATGAGACACACAATTTAATAAAAGCTTTCAAAAGGAAAAGGTAAATTTTATATTTATATACATTAAAAAGTAAAAAAATATATAACTCTGAATTGGAGAAATATGATTATTAAAGTTATTGAATATCCATAAAACTATCTGGCATTATTTTCTTCTCCCTTGGGATTTTAAGGATTCTCAGATAATCTGATTGGTCTGTGTACATCAGGAGAAATGCTCTGACACTAAACTTTAAGTGGAAATTTTTCCTCAAGCATGCTCTCTGCATATGTCCATCTACCAACATTATTGGCCAATATAATATATATAAGTTCAACAAAATTGCTTTTACCACAGGATAGGATATGCAGATAATATGGATTTGCCTCAGAAAACAAAAGGATGAACTCAATCTCAGCTTCTAGCGTTGGTAGGGACATGTCTGATGATATACAGAAACATTTTATAGCAAGGGTGAGACTTCTCTGTAAATACAAGTCAGTTGGGGGGCATCTGAGGGGCTCAGTCAGTTAAGCGGCCGACTCTTGATTTCAGCTCAGGTCATACTCATGGTTCCTGAGTTTAAGCCACAAGTTGGACTCTATGCTGACAGCATGGAGCCTGCTCAGGATTCTCTCTCTCTCTCTCTCTCTCTCAAAAATAAACATTTAAAAAATAAAAATTAAATTAAAATTTAAAAAAACAGTTGGTCGTCAACTCAAAAGTACAAATTTGGAGAGCTCTCCACTTAAAAAAATTACAATCTCTAGAAGTTAGACTTGAGGAAGTTAAAAATCTCAAATGGTTTGTGATGGAGCCAATATCAAACAAATTGACAACATAACCTTTAGGAACCCTGAACTAAGAGGACATTTGAGGTCTCTGTGAAGCATTTCTGGGGTCAGCAGGAGAAAACGCCTCCATTCTTCACAGAATTTTAAAACTGTTCTCTTTTCATGGTAGTATTGATGTCGCAGCTGCAAAAACAATTACTGCTTACTCTCACTATTATTGCCCATTCAACTTAGAACAAAAACTCCAGATGTTCCCAGGACATACTTAGAGAAAAGGATGCCTTCTATCCGTCAAGTCCCGTTAATATTTATCTTTGAACATGAAGCCTATTTCAGTGTACTTCCTGGAAAACTTCCCCTCCATGAATTCAGAGAAGGCAGCTACATGGTCCTGTATCAAGCTATATGTAGTAACAAGCTTCAGATTCGGGTAGAAAATTTAGATCTGGATATTATTTCAGTTCATAATTTCTTCTCTCTCTTCCTTTTCCCATCTACTCCATGTCACATCTCTGTGAGCAAGCAGTGTCTCCCTCCTTTGTCCCTAGCCCTTTGTCTCATGCCTCTACCCTACTCCAGCTGGAGTCAAAGTAGAAATAACCCGCGAACAGTCTCGGCTTCCATCATTTCCTTCACTTATTCAAGTCAACCTTGCCCCTTGCTTTTGTTGTGTCGCAAAATGAGGAAATCTATCATCCATACCATGAGTTCGTAAGTAGAGGAATGTCATAGAGGAATTGTAGCAGTAGATTTGAGTGGAATGTGTCAGAACTGTGTGATCATAATGAAAATTGCTGAAAGCTAACTACTAGCTAATAATAGATTTTATTCAGACGTCCTGACTTCAAGAGCACAAGCTCTGCTTAAGTAACCTAGATTTACCCAAATGTATTAGTCAAAAGTCAGTCAGCAAAACAGAAACAAATCCAAATATTTTAAGTAGAAAGAAATTTAACACAGTGAATTAGACATATAGACATTGGAAGATCTGATGAAGCAAAGATGGCAAGACTGATGACCTGAAACTCTGAAGTATAGTATTGCAGAAATGCTTCTCAATTACAGAACTTAAACTAGATGATAAAAGAAAGGGATTGTGGGAAATGTAGTTTGGGTTTCTCCTCAGCAAAATGGGGAAGTGTATTATAAAGGGATAAGGAAGGGGCACCTGGGTGGCTTGGTCAGTTAAGTGACCAACTCTTGATTTCAGCTCAGGTCATGATCTCATGGTTCATGGGATTGAGCCCCACGTCAGACTTCGTGCTGACAGTGCAGAGCCTGCTTGGGATTCTCTCTCTCTCCCTCTCTCTCTCTCTCTCTCTCTCTCTCTCTGTCTCTGCCCCTTCCCTGCTCATGCTCTCTCTCTCTCTGTCTTTCACTCTCTCAAAATAAATAAACTTTAAAAAGATAAAATAAAAATAAAGGGATGAGAAAGATCTGATGGACAGCATACAGAGCAGTACTTCTGTTAACTCAGTCCTTATGTAAACCTAGAGGCACTAGCTGAACTGTGTTTTGTAATCAGAACTCTGCAGTAATTAGACCAGATAGCAGCTGAATGTGGAGTATGACCCCTAGAACATTTCATAATTGTCATTTAGAATTTTTGTCACTTTTTTCAAAATAGGGGGGCTGAACATGAAAAGAACCACCACACATGAAGAGCAGGAGTTAAGCTAATGATAAATACATTGCCTTCTATTATTACATGAAAGTCTTAAGCCTTTATTTAAAAAACCTCACAGTGAGTTTAGAATTCTTCACTAATTGAAGCTCCTGAAGTTAAGTTTTTCTTGTCCTGTCAATTCCTCACAGATTTATTGTCTATTTGCTAAAAACTCTAAATGTTGCCTGCCTTGGTCATTTCTTTAGATTTCAATTTCATTAGTAGGCCTCCATGGGCAAGTAATAAAATTCTGGATTTTTTTCTCCTGTTAATGTCTCGTGTAAATTTAATTATCTGTCCAGCTGGAAGAAGCTTGGACCAGGAAAATTTCTTCCTCCCCTTCAAATGCCAAACGGTAAGAAACAATTTTTAACATTCTAACGGTAAACTCAGTTGAAAATAGAACAACAGTAAAAAAAAAGAAAAGAATGACATCATTTGTCAGAAAATTGGCCAAAGTTACTATCCCACCAATTTTGAAGATTTCTGATACAGATTTGTAGAATTTAAGATATCAAAACAATGGAAACCTGTCATTATAATTGGTAAAAATAGACGATCTTAACTTTAAAATAAGTAGAATCTGGCATCTAGATTGTCTCCTGCACCCTTAACAGTCCTTGAAGAAATGCTAAAAAATATGCGTTATTCACTATTCTTTCTGCAACATTCCTGGTAAGTTGCTAAAAATCTCCATAAGTACACTGTATTCTGAGCTACTCACCACCCCAATCAACTCCTCCCTCCTAGATGGGTGCCTAAAAATGAGGGGAAATACCAGCGCAGAGTGGATCCAGGAAGAAAGATTCCAACAAAATGATCTTAAAATTACCAAGTTGGGAAGGCAGTAAGTTTGTAAGAAGGAAATAAGCTACGAAAGGAGTTCACCTTGTTCAGTTTATTGAAAGATACAATTATGAATGAAAAGTAAAATGCTCCCGTGCTGTGTCCCAACTCCCATATCCAACCGGTTGGAGCAGATCTGCCCCCACACTTGCTCAGCCAGTCCCTGAACGCCTCTGTACTGTGTGTCCTACTATGTCAGAATCCAAAACCTTTCAGATGCACTTAGCCTCCTTAGTGCCTCAAGAGGTTTGTGTTCAGCTCCCCCTGCAGTCCAAGGTACTGTGTCACTTGCAGCACAAAAGTACTTGGCCGAGTCGCTCCAGTGGGCCGAGTGTTTCCTCAGATGGAAGGAGGTTTCATTCTTCCTAAATTCAGCCTGAAAACCTTTGATGCCTTGAACCAGGACATTTGGTGGCCCTGAAAAGTACTTGAGGAGAAGCTGGAGTCCTTGGTTGGGGTACTGCACATACCAGAAGAGATTAGGAGTTGCCCCATAGGAGTAGTTGCACCTCAGCTCCAGATGGGCTTTTTCAGAGACAGTGACATGGCCATCAAGCTGGGTCACTGACTGGGCACTGGTGTCTCCTGCAAAATCAATGCTGTATCAGTGAAAGCGGTGCAGACTCGGTCTATGAAAAGTATTTCTACTAAAATTTGAGTAAGAAAAGTTACTTATGGTAGAACAAGGGACCATAATAGGATATTACTCACTCAGGGAAAAAAGCATCCCCAGTACTGGGATGAGCAACAGGAGCATGGCTGAGCAGTGAAGACATGGCAGGCTTCTTTCTGGAAGATCTCCCCTGAGCAAGCAGGAAAGCGGCCGTGGAACCCAGCTCTTGGAAATAGGAGATGTGAGTAAGGTTGAACTAGATAAGTCCCTTGTTTAGGTAAAAATACAAGAACTTCTTAGGTGATCTTGAGTATTTTCTGACCTCTGAATATCTCACTTGTCTTAACCTCAAAGAACTCAAAAAGCGGGCTTCAGCCCCCTAGCTCCAGGGAGGAGGAGCGGAGGGGAAGGTGCTGAGAGCTTCAGCACCTCTAGTTTGCGCAACATCGCCCACTGGAGGCCAGACACAGGACAGAGGCTCCAGACAGCCTGCGAAGCTAATCTGTGCTTCCCTTCTATTTAGAGACACATCAAAAACTTCCACTGAACAGATTTTCTTTCTTCCCTAACATATAATATATTGTCTTCTGTAGTTGGTAATATTAATCCTTGTCTCTGTGAATAATAGGGCCTGTAAAATAGAGGAGTAATTTACAGAGAAACTGATTATACAGTAAGACTATCAGACTTCAGAATGCATCAGAGCTTCCAGTAGTAGCTGTGGAGTCATTTTTTTTTAATTTTTTAATGTTTATTTATTTTTGAGAGAGAGAGAGACAGAGCATGAGTTGGGGGGGGGGGGGTTGCTGCAGAGAGAGAAGGAGACACAGAATCCAAAGCAGGCTCCAGGCTCAGAGCTGGAGCTGTCAGCACAGAGCCTGACGCTGGGCTGGAACTCACCAACTGTGAGATCATGACCTGAGTCTGAGTAACTGACTGAGTCACCCAGGCGCCCTGGAGACATTCTGTAAGCAGAGATAATCAGATTAGTGTCCCCAGGCTGAGCTTTGGATAGCCTTACTGGCAGTAAGCCTCAGGCTGAGAAGCCGATATAGTAGGATGCTAGAATCAAGACATCCGCAGGACTGCTTCTTTTCTGAAACCTCTGGGGGTAAAATTGGTTTTTTACATTTCCCAGGTTCTAAAGGCTGCCCACATTCCTTCACTCATGGTCCCTTTTTCCATCTTCAAAGCCAGCAGTGCTTCATCTTTGATCATTCATCCAGAGTCCCATTTCCCTCTAACCAGTACAGGGAAGTTTCTCCAATTTTAACTACCCATGTGATTAGACTGGATCTACCTGAATAATCCAGAGTGATATTCCTATCTCAGAGTCCTTAACCGAACCCTCTCTGCAAAGCAATTGATTAAAAAACAGACCAATTTAGGGGCTCCTGAGCGGCTCAGTCTGTTAAGCTTCCAACTCTTGCTTTGGGCTCAGGTCATGATCTCACAGTTTGTGAGTTCAAGCTCTGCATCAGGCTCTGCGTGGACAGCTGTAAACCTGCTGGGATTCTGTCTCCCTCTCTCTGAGCCTCGCCCTCTTGCTCTCTATCTCTCTCTCAAAATAAATAAAAATAAACTTTAAAAAAAAAACAGACCAACTTAAACAATGACACAAACGGTACCTAATAGGTGCACAATCCTTCACTCATATGGTATGAAGGGACAGCAAAGAGGATTAGCCATAAGTAGATGTAGGGGCCACCAAGGGTAAGCTGCCTCAAAATGTACCATTTGAGCATGTTGATTATTTTAAATAAAGATTACTGAAGAGAGCCTGTGCAAGAAGGACACTCTTGGGGTACCTGGCTGCCTCAGTTGGAGGAACATGCTACTCTTGATCTTGGGGTTGAGTGCGAGCCCCACATTGGGTATAGAGATTATTTAAAAATAATATCTTTTAAAAAAAGAAAACAGAAAAAAACAAAGGACACTCAGACCCTCCTCTGTCCCCCTGAAAGCTGGAAACAAATCTCCCATGTGAAAGGCGCCCTTCCTATACCAAGAGGTAAAGAGACATCTTATCACCAGAGATAGGAAATTAATGGACAAGGATGCTGCATAAACAACGCTTGTTACTTTTTACTAATCTACTGCCCAGGCCAAATTCCACTTAGAATTCCTTACTAATTGAAGCTCCTAAGGTAAGGAGTTTCTCCTTTGTTGTCAATGCCTCACAGATTTATTGTCTCTTTGTCTAAAAAGGATATAAATGCCTCCCTTGGTCATTTCTTTCAGTCTCAATGTAACTGTTGGACCTCCATATGCATATAATAAAACTCTGGGGTTTTTCTCCTGCTAATCTGTCTCATGTAAATTTAATTCTTGGTCCAGCTGGAAGACTTTCAAGGGGAGAGAAAGAATTTTTCCTTCCTTCACAGTACAAATGATAAATATCAAAGCAAAACCAAACAAAAAGTCAGAAAACCTGACACATAAGGAAACAAAATTCCAAGAATGAAAAAGACTGTTCAAAAATATCTAAATTAACTTGTCTTGAAAAAAATTCAACAGCAAAGTTTCAACGATCAGGAAGAGCTCCTGGAAACTAAAAATATTGTTGCCAACCCCTTTTTAAAAATCAGAAGTGCCTGGGTGGCTCAGTCAGTTAAGCGCTGGACGCTTGATCTTTGCTCAGGTCATGATCTCACAATTCATGAGTTCGAGCCCCCTGTTGGGCTCTGTACTGATAGTGAGGAGTCTGCTTAGGATCTCTCTCCCTCTCTCTCTCTGCTCTTCCCCTACTCGAGCGTGCGCGCTCTCTCTCTCTCTCAAAATAAATAAGCTTAAAAAAAAAAAAGAAAAGAAATACAGAATTGCACCAAAACCCCCCTGCCTTCTCTTTGTCACCCCACTCCACCTTCAGATGTCTCTGAAATTCCCTAACCCAAAAGCTATCTGGTTCAAAGCAACCAGAGAGACTATCTTCAATTGTTTTCTATGTTTGAGGGTAGCTTGTAGTCTAGTCTTTCCAATCCTTCTGTTTCTTTTCCACCTGCCCTCTACACCTGGTACCATTTTCCCAGAGTGTAACTGGTGCTTCAATTTGTTGGGCATTCCCAGAATGCTGCAGCATAAATAGAACTGCCTCCTGTTGGCTTTCCTACTGCAGCCACATATTTTCTCTCTGCCAAACCCCTTATCTCTTCTCCACTTGCTTTCCATCCTTGAAACATCATCTTGATGTCTCCTGTGCTGTCACCATCTTTCCTGGTTGCTTTGTGCTTGTGTGCTTATATATTTTGTGAAATTCTTTTTTTTATTATTTTTTATTTATTTGTTTATTTTAGAGAGAAAGAGAGAGTATGCAAACAGGGGAAAAGGGCAGAGCGGGGAAGAGAGACAGAATCTTAATCAGGCTCCATGCTCAGCACAGAGCCCATCATGAGACCATCACAGAGCTCAGTCCCAGGACTCTGGGATCATAACCTGAACCAAAATCAAGAGTCGGGCACTCAACCAACTGAGCCACCCAGGCGCCCCTTGAAATTCTTTATTAACATTTTAGTAGACTTTCAGGAGGCTGCAGAGAGAAACATGAATATTCAATCAACTGTGTTCAACCAAAACTCTGAAACTTACTTATTTTTTTATTGTATATCTTCTTGCTGTCTTTCAGGTTTTTTGTTTACCAGGCACATAGATTGTTTTTTCTATAAAAAGGAATTTTAAACTTGTAAACCAAGAAGGAAGAACTAATAATTTTAGAATTGAAATGAGAGAAGGGTTATTGCTTCAGCTCATTCATAACACTGACAGAGAGGGCCAGTGAGAAAAGGAAACATTAGAAAAGACTCCTGGAAGGGAATGGAGGAAAAGAGAAAGTGAAAGGGGAAAGGACCCTTCACTGCAATTGACATTTTCAGTATCTTTCACAGCTGCCTTCCACTGCACTTCCTGAGTTACTGAGACACACTGAATGCCTCTGTCAGTCTTCTCTCTAACAAGGCCCCTTCTCCCTGAAAATCGAATTATTTTTATGGATCAAAATAAAATAATAAATAAGTAACTATTCACCCAGTGACTGCAATATACGAGGGAAGCGACCCCCATATGTGAGGAGCCCCCAGGACTAGATGCAATACAATCCAAAGTTCCCTTTTCTTTCTTCTCCTCTCTTTTCCTCTACCCACCCTATTACCTTTCACTTCTTCATTAGTCTCCTTGAGGATAACAAAAAGAGTTAACCTCTTCTGGATAAGGAAAAGAGTCGAGGGAGCTACGTGATTTCCCCCAACCACCATTCCTGAACTGTGATCTGATGAAGAATGTAAACCTGACCGTTTTTTCTCTTCAGATGATACAGACACTGCCCCCTCTGTCTCGGGTTGCTTTAAGAAGCCGGCTAATCAAGATATAGTAGGGAGGTCTGTCTCTCTCTGTCCCAAAAATAAATAAAAAACGTTGAAAAAAAAATTAAAAAAAAAAAAGATATAGTAGGGAGGAGAAAAAGAGGGCAGGGAGTGTGCACAGGATTTGGACATGAGCCATTTCTTCCAGTATGTGCTTGTGTCCACTTCTTTGGAAAGCAGCAGTCCATGACTGCTATTTTGTTTGCACCAAAAGAAACTATGATAAATATAATTTTCCTTCCATTCTTCTTGTACATGTGGGAACTGTTTCTCCCTCCTCCCTTTCATTCTTTCTGTAAGAGCCAGTTGCTTTGGTATTTGGTATTTTCCTCTGTTCCCTAGGAAATAACCCTCTCTGTGTCAGGAGGACGTTATGCAGATGCAACCCCATCTATCTCACGCTGTGTCTCTAAAGAGAAAATCATATACATCTCTAATTGGGGGGATACCCTTGACCAAAGTCACAGGGTTGGACTTTGTCTGGAAGGAGGAGACAGAGATCATGTCATTGATTTTTTTTTTCTTTTTCAAGTTTTTATTAAAATTCCAGTTAGTTAACATAGTGTATATTAGTTTCAGGTGTAGAATTTAGTGATTCATCACGTACCTATAACACCCTGTGCTCATCACAACAAATACAATCCTTAATGTCCATCACCCATCTAGCCCATCCCCACCCACCTCCCCTCCAGCAACACTGTTTGTTCTTTATCATTAAGAGTCTGTCTCCTGGTTTGCCTGTTTTTCCCCCCATGTTCATCTGTTTTGTTCCTTAAATTCCACATCTGAGTGAAATCATATCGTATTTGTCTTTCTCTAACTGACTTATTTCGCTTAGCATGATACTCTAACTCCGTCCACCACTGATCCTTGATGAAAGATGTCAGACCCTGTTTCTCATTTCTACAAGGGGGTGTTAAGTTCAGGACCTGGTCAGTTGCTATTTTTCCACTGTGTTCTTGAAGTCAATCTGGGTGATCTTCACACCTGCCAGGGTACCTGAGGGTCAAACCATAGTAGAATGTCCTGAAACCAGAATGAGTCATGAGCACCAGTCCTCAGCATATGGGTCCTGACTGGTCCTCTGAGGGCTTGCGCTTGCCGCGCACCCCCCCCCCCCAGCCTCTCCAGGTGGCACA